CAGTTTAAAGTACCTCCCACCTCACTGACAGATCATTTTGCATTAACTTCATCAAAGCACTTACTGCAACCCGGTCTTCAAGCCTCATTTATTTGCCAGTAAAAGCATTTTTGCTTTAGAATGTATTTCTAGTCCAACAAAGATCTTGTTTATCTGGTCACAATTTTATTCTTGGTACTAAAAAAAAAAATGATCTTGAAGAAAAACTAGACATGAAATACCTATTTTTAAATAACTGAATAATTCACTTATTTGAGCAAATAAGTTATATTTTGCTGACGGCATTTAACGGCTTCCTGGAGACTGGTCCAGTTTTTGCTTTTTATTTTTTATTCTTTCCTTCAGTGACTGCTGCATTCACTGAATTCTCCCTCAGGTTTTTCTCTCACCAATAGGCTGGCACTTTGTATCCTACCAATCCTCCAAAGCAGCCAGAAAGGCAGGCAGAGAAGCAGCAGCCATCAGTCAGTGTCAGGTGCAAACTATTCCCCTGGAATGAAAGGGCCAGGACTATCATTTAAACATCGTCCAATCTGTTCACATCTTAGAAAGCTACACTGCTATCAAAAGCAGCGGACGAAGCTTCTAAGGGTTGTACAGTGCATATCAGCAGAGGATATCATTAAGATTCACTTCCTTGCTTCTCCTGTTCAGTTGCTTCCAGGGAAGCTAGTGGATTTCTCTTGTCTTCTTCAGTTGAGGTTTCTTGAATTTCTGAGTCTCAGAATATCTTGTTTGTCAGGTTTTTTGGCAGATTAAGTAGTAATTGTAGTTACACAGAAGGAAGTCAGATATCCACAGTAGCTACTCCAGCCCTTTTTCTGACACCCTGTGTCTTCCAGCTTAGCCTCTTCTGATATGATACTAACCTTCTCCTCTTCTTGTATCCTGATGATTTCCTCCTGCCTCTCTTGAATTGCATCTGCCTTCTGAAAGTCTCCCACAAAGAGACCATGAAACTCATGTTTTTAAGCCATTGAGCTTCTACTTATGTTTCTACAGCTTTTAGTTTTACCTAAGCTTCTTATCACCAGTGGCTTGTAGACATTTGCACTTAGAGTTGGAGCCTTTAATACAATATGTCCAATACCCAATCTACCACATTCTTCCTAAAGCATATACTTTCCTGCATATATAATACATATTTTACATATAACTATATATGGTTTAACAATAGAAAATGTATTATACAGTTTGTTTACTACGAGTTTCCAGATTTGTGGAATACACACACATATAATGATTCCAGATTTGTTATTGTTACATATACATATTTACCTCCACTATCTAGTCACCCTTCACAATCAGCTATTGTGAAACCATGAAATTTTTGGTTGCAGACTGAGAAGTTTTATTTGCTAAGTGATCAGACAAATGTGGAAATAAGAAGGAAGGGAAAACCACCTTCCAGGAGAGAGCCAGGAGGTGGGGTGCCTCTTGAAATGAGACAGGGAAAGATAGCCTATTAATCTTCTTTAAGATTCCTTTGCTATTGCCTTAGTCTAGATACATAACACAACAGCCTAGGTCTTCTATGCCACATCTTAACTCAAAGTATGGTCCAGTCACCCTGGTGTTAAAATCATACGGGCAACTTGCTAAAGTGCAGATTCCCAGACACTACAGACACTACTGGAATTTTAATCTGAAGTTAGACTGATTGTAGGGCTCAGAATTCTGCATCTTAACTTGTTTCCTAATATGATTGCAAAACTTTATTTCAGAACACCTGGAATTAACCTCTCTACCTCCCATGTCTACTCTGACTCAAATTGTTCTACTTCTGGCCACATAGAGTTTATACTGGGACACATCTATGCTTTCAAACTGATAAATCTGCATGCATTTACAAATATAGTTAAAGTGGACCTTAGGAATCAGAACTCCTTCATTTTGTAGAAAAAGAAACAGGATCGAGAGATTTTTTTTTTGCACTTATGAAAGATAAAAAGCAGGTAATAGGCCTGGCTGGGATTAGGTCTTAAGATGCCCAATTTACAAATCATGTGGAAAAGAGTTAACAGAGCAGAACTCTGAAATGTCTGCTTGCAAGACTGGCTCTTGGATGATATTTGGGAAGTTCAGTTTGGGAAGAGTTTCCTCTGTTCCTAGGATTGAAAAGAGGGGCTGACTGAAGCTAAAATATTTTCCACTAACAATATGGATTAAGGTAAACTCTTACTTCCTTTTTAAGGTCACAAATTTGGGAACCAGGCAGGGTATGCCAATGTGACCACTCCCAATAAAATCCATGGGTGTTGAGCCTCTACCAAATTTCTTTTGCTGGGCTCACTGTGATGGCTCAGTGGCTAAATCCTCACCTTGCAAGCGCCAGGTGTGGCTTCCCTACCTTCCATCCAGCACCCTGCTTATAACCTGGAAAAACAACAGAGGATGACCCTGCACCCTATACCCTGCAACCGCATGGGAAACCCTGAAGAAGCTTCTGGCTCCTGGCTTCAGATCAGCTCAGTTCTGGCCTTTATAACCACTTGTGGAATGAACCAGCAGATGGAAGATCTTTCTTAGTGTGATTTGAACTCTTCAACGTTCAGTTTCTAACCTCCATTTTTCTCTCAGAGTCATGGTTTCCCAGTCTATGTAGCTAGGCCAACAATCCTCATCTTGCAAGATTGTGACAAACATTTGGCACAAAATGAGCCGATAGAAGATGCCCTTTAAGAAGCAGCTACTATTTGTACCTAATCTTTGGATAAGATAATGCAATTTTCAGATCCATATATACATGTTGTAATGGAAATTGTCACATGTATGCAAAATGCCCTGATTGTTTAGGATTTTGTGAACATAAGATCTATAGAAAGCTCTGATGCAGAATTTCTATGAGAAATGTAGAGAGCTGGGACTGGCACAATGGTTCAGTGGCTAAATCCTTGCCTTATATCTGCCAGGATTGCATATGGGTATGCTGGTTCATTTCCCGACTGTTCCACTTCACACTTAGCTCCCTGCTTATGGCCCGGAAAAACAGTGGAGTACGGCCCAAAGCCTTGGGACCTTCCTGCATGGGAGATATGAACGAAGCTCCTGGCTCCTTGCTTCGGATTGGCTCAGCTCCAGCCATTGCAGCCGCTTGGGGAGTGAACCAGTGGGTAGAAGATCTTTCTCTCTATATCTCCCTCTCTCTTGATAAATTTGCTTCTTCAATAAAAATAAATAAATCTTTTTAAAAATGTAGGGAGCCAGCACAGAAAAGAGCGTGTTATACTCATTTTCAGCCTTCAGTCCCTGCTTGGCTATTTTCCCCTTGCTTTGTCCGGGAGGTGTCCTGAATTCTCTCTCAGTCTGCCAATCTGTACTACTTAAGTGTTTCCTGGATTTTCAGTTGTTCAGTAAACTGGGACCCTCTTATAGTCACTGGTGCACATTTGATTCATTCAACATCACATACTGGTCCTAGATGGAAAATCCCAACTGAAACATCTCTCCTGGATGTGACTCTGGCTTCTGGCTTTGTTCCTTAACCTGCTTGTAATATTTGCTCTTGAATGAAGTACATTTCACTCGTTGAGAAGTAGAATTATTAGGCAAATATAACCCTAGTTGGTGGCAATGCATTTGAAAGGAAATCTCATTTATATTCATTTATATTTTGTCACTAGCATCCAAAAGATAACCACGGTACTTCTTAATATTATTGTCCCTTCTGAAATAACAACTAAATGGTTTAAAGATGAGTGATTTGAAATCTTTTTAGTAATTCAAATGAGCTGAATTTTTTAGTATATACTAGGATAGTTGCTATGAAAAGCAGACAGTGTCTGCAAGAGATTACTATGTGGCATATCATTTTCAGAGAAAATCATCATTAGTTTTCTCCTCTGAGGGGAAAAAAAAAACATTTAACAAAGACATTTGCTCTGAATTTCTTACCCAGACATGCTAAAATGGTGAGAGTACTGCATAGGGGAGACGGAAGGCCTGTTTCACTGTAATGGAGTGGCCAGGAGCTTTTTTCCTCTCTCCTTTCAACTAGGTGAGGTGCCACTTTCTTGCTCAGGTGACTTTGAAGCCAAGATTTCTTCTTCCTGCTCTCTTTTGTCTAGATCCTGACTGTGTGTTGACATCTACTATGAGCTTGGATGCTAAAGATGGAGGAGCCACTCATAGCCAAACTCCTTAAATGAGCACAGAACTTAATAATTTCTCCTTCCCTTTTACCCATCAGGAATATCTGCACTATGTTAAGACTTTGAAATGTGAGATTTGGGGTTATAGTAGGTAATTATGTTACTAATTAAGTTGTTGAATCTATTTTACGCCAGTCTGCTTGGGTTGTTAGATTAAAACAATACCTGGCACACAAAAATGCTCAGCAAATGGCAGTTATTGGTGGTATTACCTACTCTGGTACTAACTAATTGGGTATCATTGAACGCATTTGTTTCTCCATTGCTTCACTGCCTTAACTGTTGAATGTAAGAATTATTCCTGATGATTTCTAGGTTTCTTTAAATGTGAAGTTTTATTGTTAGAAGCCTCTTCAAAAAAGTTGCTAAGAAGAGCAGCCATTTTGCCTAGTGATTAAAACATGCGTCTTACAACAGAGTGCCTGACTTGGATTCCCGGCTTGGGCTCCTAAGCATCACCTGGTGCGTATAGTGAGAGGTGGTAGTGATGGCTCAGGCAGCTGGGTTTCTGCCACCCATGTGAAAGACCTCGATTGTGTTCCCAGCTCCTGGCTTTGGCATCAGCCTAGATAGACCTAGCTGTTGCAGGCCTTAGGGGACAAACCGTCACATAGAGGCTCTGTTTGTGTCTCAAACCAATAAATGAAAATTATTTAAAGTTGATAAGGAAAGATTACCTTAACTTATGAAAAGTGGCCAGAAGAAAAGGAAGAGTCATTCACAACGTTAGGGAAAACACAGGACTCAGATACAGAAAACAACTATTTAGAGAGAAGTAGACAAGTGTTTTCTTTGGAAATTTTATCCATCATATACTACAATGAACAGAAGGAAGAAAGATTGACCTACCGGGCTGTGTCTGTGAGGCTTTCATTCACTCCCAAGTGGATATCTTGTGTGGTAAGGAAACAAGGGTGACCTCCCAGAAGTGCAAAGCCTACAATAAAGCAGAGAAAGGATTTTAGTTTTAAACGAAAGGACTGAAGTGGGAAAGAAAATCACATTAGTAGGCCCCATGTCAATTGAAAAGACAGTTCTTCAAAGTTCTCCGAACTCTTTGGTAAGCAATTCCCAGGCAATGCAAAATGGGGAATTAAGGGAAATAGATGTAATTGTGTGCATAAAGACCTAATTCTCCCATTTCTCCATTCTCTTGTACTGGTAGAACTGGCAATAAGGGGGCATTGTTCCTTTTGGGGGAGCTATATGCTTGGTTTTGATTCATTAAAATGTAATAAGACATCTAATAGAATAGAAGAATCAACTGTAGCTATGTGGGAAACTATGGATTACAATGGGGTACTAAATAAGACACTACAATAGAAATGAACTACTAATTCATACAATATAGATTACTTCCAGAAGTGTACTGAATGAACGAAATTATAAACAGTAGATACTATAAAATTTCATTTAAGTGAAGTTACAACCTGATCAAAACTAGCCTGGAGAATGAGATTTAAGTGACCATTGCTTTTGAAGACAGTAACTACCTGGAGAGGAGCACTGAATAATTTTTCTGGGGAAAAGAAATGTTTTTTTTTTTTTTTAATTTTGCTAGAATATGTGGGTTACATGAGCATACTGCTATGCCCAGCACTGTACACTTACAACTTATCCATTTTACAATATATAAATTATAGCTTGAGTTTAGAAAAATTGAAAACAAGATAAAGCATTGACAAGGTAGTATTAAGTCACTAGGAATCAGCTACTGTTTTATCTTCCAAGCAAGATTAAGCTAAATATCACCTATGTATGACCCTTACTAGTTTTCAACCTCCTGGGCAAATTGAGATTACTGCAGCTACCTGAGAGTGAGGACAGCTCCTGCCCTGCTTAGTGCACACGTCTGAGGATCATGCCACGCAGAGGGGTCTGCTCCAAGCCATAGTTGAAATTTCAAGAGCCATTATGTGACACATTCTGGGATAAAATGATAGAAAATGATGATATTCCATCAGAACTTTACCATATTGTTTGAGACAGGTGCCATGGCAAATATAAAACAGTTGAAATTTACTACTATTAGCTTTTTCCTATGAAAAATTAGAGTCATTTTAGAACCATGAAGGGGAATACAACTCAAGGTCTTGTTTTAACACCTCATGAAGACTCAACGCAATTTCAACAATGTGATTTGAAGTTTTATTTTATTTTTATTAGAAAGATATACAGAGAGGAGGAGAGACAGAGAGGAAGATCTATCTGTTGATTCATTCCCCAAGTAGCTGCAATGGCTGGAGCTGATCTGAAGCCAGGAGCCAGGAGCTTCTTTAGGGTCTCCTGTGTGGATGCGGGGTCCCAAGGCTTTGGGCCATCCTTGACTGCTTTCCCAGGCCACAAGCAGGGAGTTGGATGAAAAGTGGGGCTGCTGGGATTAGAACTGGCGCCCACATGTGATCTTGGCACATGCAAGGCAAGGACTTTAGCCACTAGGCTACCACTCCAGGCCCAACAATGTGATTTGAACATGGACTGGAATTGATATTAAATAGCTAGTATTTTGTTAGATATAATGTCCTCGTAGTTATATAGGCGAATATTATTGTTTTTGTGAAAGATACAAAATGTTATGTTGTGGGACACTTCTGAGCAGCTCCCTGACAATATGCTTGGGAAAGCAGCAGAAGATGGGCCCAGTGCTTGGGCCTCTGCACTGGGAGACCTGGAGGAGACTCTAGGCCCAAGCCTTGCTGTTAGAGTGATTTCAGGATTGAACCAGCAGACGGGAGATCTCTTTCCTTCTGTCTCTCTAACTTTGCCTTTCAAATCAATAAGATCAAATAAATCTCTTTTCCTTTATTTTCTTTCTTTTGTAAATAATAAATTAATTTTATTTTTGATGATGTTTACATAGTTGAAAGGCATGCGTAACCATGTGGACCATTAACTAGAGTGGCAAGTGTCAAGGAATAGGGGAAAATGGATAAAACAATTGCTTCCCATCTTTTGGTCTTATGTGTGCTGATGGGATCTGCAGCCCAGACTTGCATGGCTTGCCTCACCTTGGTATTTACAAGTTGGTGCTGTAGCCTGGCTCAGTTCTGTCTTCCCCCAGTTTTCACTAATGCTGGTGAGTGTTACAGCTTAGCTCAATCCAGCCAGACCCCAGTCCTGGCCCTAATGTGAACTGGCTGATGTTATGGCCCAACCTGGGCTGTCCTGCACCCCATCCTGGTTCTCAGATCTGCCCTTGGGTGTTATGAACTGGCTCAGCCTGGCCCACCCCAGACCTGACCCCCACAAATGCTGGCGCATACTGTGAGCTGGCTTGGTCTGGGCTGTGCACAGCCTTAGTTCTTGTGCTCACCTACAGGAACTGCATCCTGAGAGAGGAGTTCCCCAAGCTCCTCTAACATCTCACCTCCCAGTCACAGATCTCACGCACACCAGTGGGTCCTTGTCCTAGTCTAACTTGGTCCACCTATTGTCCTGACAGGTACAGTGACCTTGCCTGACCATCCCACACCCATTCCAGCTCTGACTATTGGGTGTTGCAGCTCAGCACTGCCAGGTCCACCTCCAGACCCAGCTTTTGCATGGTTTAGCAGGTGCAGAGACCTAACAAATTCTGTCCTACACCCACTCTGACTCTTGCAAGCATGAGTAAGTGCTGAAGTTAAGCCAAGTCTGGCACACCCCGGAACCAGTTCACACCGATGCTGAATAATAAATTTCTTTAGACACTCTTCGTGCATGTGTGGGGTCCTCATGGTCAAGAATGGAGTCAAATGGCGCATCTCCTCTATGTGAAAAGACCGTGACAAGTCATAGGCTCACAGCCATTCACGCACTAGTTTCTAGAAATACGTGCATAGTGAAATTCTAGGAAATGGGGAAAGCATTATAAACACCAAGACACAAATGCCTGACTGCATGGAACTTACATTCTTGTAGAGAGAACAGAAATAAACTGAATGTGTAATAAAATGTATTGTATATCAGATGTTGGCAAGTTCTATGACAAAAATAGAGCCGTGCAAGGGGCAAAGAATATAAGAAATAGGAGTTACAATTTGAAATATGCGTTGAAGGAAGCCATACTAATTGAGGGACGTTTGAATAAGACCTGAGGAAGACAGATGAATGAATAATGGAAAACAGAAGACATTGCAAACAGCGTGAGCAAAGATAAGGTCATGGCTATTGGATTCAAAGGATAGCAGTGGGGTTGCTGTGGAAGGTGCAGTGTGTGAGGAAGAGTGGAAGGAGGTGAGGCTGCAGAAGGAGGCTGAAGAGAGTTTTGACTTTTATCCATGATGGGAAGCCTCTGGAGGATTAGACTAGAGTGACACAATTGGACTTAGTGACAGTTGATAGCTTGGACTAGGATGCTCATAACTGAATTGATGAGGAAGTTGCTTGGATTCTTGATACAGTTTCAAAATACAGCCACGACTCAGTTGTTAATCTTCCTTCTTATCTCACTGGGGAAAAAAGCAGCAAGCAGAGGAGACCTTTCAAACTGCACCAATACATTTCCCCATCTGTCAGCATCTTTACCCATATACTTTGCTTTCTTTTGTATTAAGCATAGCTGAACCTTCCAGGCCTGTGTAAATTCTCCACTCAGGCACTGGAAGGCATCTCCCCTTACCTATTCAAGTATGTTACTCCAGAAGTTCTTTCCTTTCTCACATCACCTGCACTTTGAATACACTCATTTTTCATTTATTCACAGTGTCAAAAACAAAATAAATAGGATGTTTCTCTTCATCCCACTTCCCCTGTCAAGTAGCCCTTTAATTCTTTACCTCCCTTTTCAGTAAAATTCATTATTTTGTTTCTTTTACTTCTCTTTGTCTATCTCCCTTTTCTGGCCTACTCTGTGCCTCTCTTCGCATTTCTATCAAACCTGTTCCCATAAGGCTTTGCCTCCCAACACCACTGCTCCCAAACTCCTCTTACCAAGGTTTTCAAATTACCTTGATGTTGCTACATCTAGAGCCATCTGTCAGTCTTCTTCTTGACTTAATAGCGTTTAACACAGTTGATTACAGATTTCTCTTTGGCAAACATTTTGTACACAATATGAGAAACAACATTTCTTGTTTTTTATATCTACCTTGGGAGTTTATCCTCCTCTGTCTCCATTATGTTTCCTTCTATTGTTGACATGCTCCAGGGCAGTCCTTGGTCCTCTTGTATCTAAATACTCTCAACTACAATCATGCCCTATCCTGAAGCCTTAAATATTGTCTATACTGGTGACCCCTACACAGCTCCAGTCTTAGTCTCAACCTCCAGTTTTCATAGCCTTTTTTTTTTTTTACAGCTGTGTTGTTGTATCTCCTTTCTAATTGATAACTCAAACTCAACACATCCAAAACTGAACTCTCGATATCCTTCCTCCAACCTGCCTCACTGGGAGATTTTATGGCTGTTCAAGCAGAAATCTTGACATTTTTTGACATTTTTCTTTTGCCAACTCTATTAGTAAGCATTTTCTTTCTCCCTTCAAAAAAATATCTAGAATCTGTTCCTGTTACCTCCACACTGCTACTAACCTTGTCTCAGTCTGTATACAATTAGTAAGTTTTTACAAGTTTCGCTCCTTCTGTCTTGTTTCCAGTTTTTCCAAGCATCAATTCTCAATAGATCAGTTAGAATAATCCTTTAGAAACACAGTTTCAAACGTCTGTGATTCCCCAGTGCATTCCTAATAAAAGTCAAATGACAATGTCATTCCATTAATGACAAACATGGCACATTTCTCCTCATTGTGAGCTCTTATTTCCTTTCATTCACTACATCACCCATTTATTTCCTGTATCTATTGTCTATTGTATGAATACCCACAGTAAGTTCTGTGAAGCCAGGTGATTTCGTGCATTTTGATTACTTATGTGTCACTCAAAAGCACCTGTTATGAAGACTGCAGAACAATGTGCACTCACTAAATGCTCTTTGGCTGAATAAAAGAAGGATTTTGACTCTAGAGAACATTCTCCTCATTTGCAAACACCCTGCACTCTGTTAACAGAAAGAAGAGAAATGTTGTATTCTGTGAAGAAAGCTAATGGAGTTTAATGTTCATTACAGCCTCTAGTAAATTTTGAGCACTTAATTTGATTATCAACATGAAGTGACCTAAAATGTAAACGTTGTACATTCATACTTAGGTATATTTATTGTGTAGCTATTATACGCCTATCACAGGGATGGGTACCATTAAGAGTTGGCAACTGCAGAGAATTTCAAGCAAAATTTGAAGAAAACTGGTGGCTCTGCTCCAAGTCATAATCTCTCCCAACGTGGACGCCATTTTGCTGTAGCAGCTTAGGATTTGTCTACTGCCCTTTCATTTCTCTCAGTGTGCTGTGAGGAAAATTCAGCATTGTGGTACAGTGGGCTGTGTTCCTTGCAATGCAGCCATTTCATATTAGTATGGTAGTTCAAGTCCTGGCTGCCCCATTTCCACTCCAGTTTCCTGCTAAGGATCTTGGGAAGCCAGAAAAAGAATTGTCAAAGTATGTTGGCTCTTGCCACCCATTGTAGGAAATCAGGATAGAGGTTCTGGCCCTTGGCTTTGGCCTGGCACTGTCCTGGCCATTGTGGCCTAAATGGGAGTGAATGAACTCTCTTCCCAATGAATAAATAAATAGATAAAAACTTTTATGCACACCAAGCCTGAATTTATGAAGTAAAGGTCGGAAGAAGGGTCTCAGAAAGTGTTCACAAACAGGAGTTAGTCTTCAGTGATCCATAAAAGAAGTAAAAGGGTTGTGTGTGTGTGTGTGTGTGTGTCTGTGTGTACATTGTCTCTGAAAAGGACTTGTAATTTTTGTCAGTGATCAACAAGAAGCCTTGGCCCCTAAGTCTAACAGTTCAGGCCAGGCATTTACCAGTGCATCATGGCATGGACTGGTGTTTGTGCACACGTGTACCAGAGGATGTCACAGGTTTTAAGACATCACCAGGAGCTTCCATTGCCAAAAAGAAATGGGCAGAGAGACTAATTGCTCTGGACCTTCTCTTCATCCTTCCACCTCAGAAACCTGCTTCCATCTGTTTTATTTATTTACGCTTTCATATCAGATATTTTTTGAACAAATACTTTCTTTTGTGGATTTGTCAATTTCTGTTTGGGACAATACATTTATTTTATCCTTTCCTTTCCTCATAGGTTTGGGGAGAAAAGATTTCATTTATGGAAAATATGAGATATTTCAAAGTCTTTGCTGGTCCCTGCTTTGCTTTTATAACTGTATAACATGATGACAAGTTTAACATTGGCATCTTTGTAAAGATGATGAATTTTAAATGGCTGCTAAAGCACCAGCTCCTATTTCACCTTGAAAGTGAAATATCAGTGTCACATAATGAAAAGAACCATCTCTCAGAATGCCCTGTGCATTTTTCTATCAGCTACTGCACTCACTAAGCTTAATAAATGCATCTGTCCATTGGCTCATCTAATTTGCAGTAAAAGAATATAATCATCAGTAGATACACTGGAGAATTATCTGGCTTGCCGGCCAGGCACACACAAAGGGTGGATAAGGAATGAATGATTTGCAGCCCTTCACAGAAGCATGGATACATATCGCAACCATAAAGCTGAGCACACAAAAGAGCACATGCTGAATGCTTCCGTTTAAATGAAGTCTGAAGACAGGCAAGGCCAATCTGTAATATTATAAGTAAGAATAATCATTACCCTTGTGTGGAGGGAGTAGCCACTTGAAGGGAGTCCAAGGTGGTGGTGGGCCTTCAGGGTGGTGTTAATGCTCTGTTAGTCTATCTGGATGTGAGCTTCAATAATGCGTTTACTGTAAGCATTCATCCAACTGTACACTTAGTGCTCTCTGCACTTTTTTTGTGGGTGTGTTCCGCTTTAATAAACACAATATGTAAGAAATTGCTAAGGTTTCGGTTCGGTGGAGAATTTTAATCTGTCTCCTGAGATAACTAGAAATCCTGCCAATATGTCTGAAACTCAGGCTTGAGCTAGAATCCTTAAGAACGATTCTGTGAGGATCACCCTACCCTACGGACTAGCACAATTTTTAAGTAGCAATAGATAAATATAGCCCGTGTTCATTCTAGATACCAAGGCAATGAGTTTTTCCTTTCTCAAACTGTGCCAAAGGACAATTATGATGCACACACACACACACACACACACACACACACATACACAATAGAAATTTTCTGCTATGATTTTAATTGGCACTTTCATTACCATTTAAGGCGACTATCCACTCTGATTCTCCTATGGTTGAATTGGGCAGAAATGCTATATGCAATTAGGCTCCTGGGTACTCATTGAAGATAATGAAAATACTCTATGAACCATAAGTTTTAATGGTCAAAGGTTCCTTTCTTCATGTATTTGTTACTTTGGTTTGCAATTTGTTCACGTCTCAGAGTACTTACAGAAAATTATCATTTAACACATAACTCAATGCCACCTGTAGAAACAATCTTGCTAGAATAAAAACTACTTTTGCATGCCTGAGTCAAATAAGATATTTAAAAATGCATTTAACAATAGCTTCCAGTCCTGTGTCTATGATTATTACTATGTGTCTACGGGCCATTTGCTGTACCCATTTCAGCCTGCTTTCCTCAATGGTCTTGCTCTCGTACAGTTGTCATAAATGTTTAGTGTGATAAACTATGTAATTAACACAGAGCACTCAGCTCACGGTCTACATCCAAAAACTTATTAATTTCTCTCTCTTGTTTTAGTAGTAGCTTCACTGACACATTATTGTAAATGATGAAACTGATCATCAAATTAGGGACATTTTGATGCCAAACAAATATGCACAGAGAAAAAATGGCAGGAAACAGCAACAACCAACCAAAAAATTATGTAAAAAACTTAAAATTGAGAAATTTCTATGTATTAATCAGTTATTTTGATGACTTCAAGCAATATCACCTCTCTTAAATGTTAATGGTTAAGGAAAGGTAAAATAAACTTTTGCCCAAGTCATGAAAGACCAATGTACAAAGAGATTGGAATTTGAGGATTTCCAATTGGTTTATTAATTTTCTTTCTACTACCTGTCATATTCCAACATGACCACTTCTTGGAGCCAGCTTTGAAAAATAAAATGTGCTCATTTGTTTTCTCCCTAGGGCTTTAAAGATTGGTGATAGGTTATATTTTCCTGCTCTTTCTCCTTCCTTCTTTTAAGAGGAAAGGAGGGTATTTTAGGAGGTATACTGTACTTGAGATCAGATTTTTGATACTAGGTCTATTAACTGAGTGAACTTAGAAAGTTAATCCCCCCCCCAATTTCATTTTTGTTATCTATTTGATGGACTTTGTTATTGAACATGCTAAGACAAAAAATTCATGTAGTACATGTGGTTGTTTCCTTCTGATACTTTTAAAGTCAGGATAAGATGTTCGAAGAATCAGTCAATGTGTTTTTGTAATGCTTTCTCCCTGACTCCTTTTGATTGCCCGTCTGGACAGATATTGGTTATTTAAGGGAAGTCTAATGGAGCAAAGATACAGAGAGGAAGAAAGATAAAGCAATTTGTGGTTTGCAAATTTCAAAACAGACTTTTCAAAAACGATGAATTTCTTTTTATTGAAAAGGCAGATTTATAGAGAGAAAGAGAGACAGAAAAAGATCTTCCATTTGCTTATTCACTCTGCTAATGGCCACAAAGCCAAAGATGAGCTGAAGCCAGGAGCCAGAATCCTCCTCCAGTCTCCAACTTGGATTCAGGGTCCCATGTTTTGGGCCATCCTCGACTGCCTTCCCAGGCCACAAGCAGGGAGCTGGATGGGAAGTGGAGCTGCTGGGACATGAACTGGAGTTCATATAGGATGCCGGCACTTACAGGCTGAGCCATTGTGCCAGCCCCCCAAATAGACTTTTCTCAAAGTCAAAGCAGGTATAACAGCTTTAAAGAAAAAAAAAAAGCCAAGAAGATTTTGAGTTCTCACAGTCTATAATTCTGAGCACAAACAAATCTGGAAGAATGTGTGGATAATCAGAGCCAGTTCGTCCTCCTCTTTTCTTGCCTGGCCTCTTATTCTGGGGAGTGGAAATGCAAGAAGGGGAGCAAAAGAAGCAACAGAAGTAAAAGTTGATTTCACATTTGCTGTGGTACCTTGCTGTGTGCTCCTCAGGCCAGTGAGGAGCCTAACAGAGATGGCAGATGAATTTTGGGGGAACCCCTGAAATGAAAACATCTGTCTTGCTGTTAAGACAGAGCTATAGGAGGCAGCTCTCCTTGGCTGCCAGCATGAGGAAGGAACATTAGATAGCCTTTCAGTATCTCTGTACCCAGTGTGACTTGGAGAGCTGCCCAGAAGCAGAGAAAACCACATTAATAGATATCTCAGATCTTGTGAGCAAAGCAAAGCAAAGCAAAGCAAATGGGAAACTGTCAAAATTCAATGGCAATGCAGAAGTTACAACAGATCCCAGCACAGATATTTGATGATGATGTACTGACAAGCAAGGACCAGATCGCCAAAGCTCTAGATATCCCGATGTTCAGATGCTCTTGAGGATTCAGCCAAAATTGTGGGGAAATGAAAAAGAGAGCCCCAAAGCAACAGAGGACTGCCTAACGGTGTAGAGATTAAATTTCTGTTAGCCAATAGATTTGAGAAACACGAGCAAAAGTTCTTCATATGTCAGGAAAGTGGACACATTTCTTACCTGCTACAGTTTGAAGTCTGAGAATTGGGGTCCACCTACATTTTGTCCTGAACTTGAGGAGGTACATATGGAACTTCTACTCAGGTAGAATCTTGTTGTTACAGTGTTTATGGGAATTAGAAAGAGCATTCCTAGGCATGCATTGCTTGTACTGGGGCAAATGTTTTTCTTTTTCACTGCTAAAGAATGAGACAAACGCCCTCCCTGGTTACCCTCCCATCTCCTCACTCCCAGGCCCCCTCTGTGAACTCACCTGTTTCTGTGGACAATCTTGTCCGAGTACTTCGTTTCTCAAAAATCATGCTTAAGGACTTCCCTTGCAATAATGGTAAGTACTGAAAGTCAAAGACAAAAATACAAGTAAATATGCGAACTATGTCTCCTATTCAATACTGAGGATTATGCTGAAGCTGTCATCCTTTACATTGTTAGAAAAAGATAGGCTAATCACTGCTGCCAAATAAGTGTTCAAAATATTATTAAAAAATGAGTTTAAAGTGCCTTTTCCTATGTTTTAGACACTTTGGGAAACGCAACAGCCGTTTCCACAAGCTTACTTACATGCAATTAGGAAGCAGTAATTGTTCTGTGTTCACTGTGGACATATGGTCACAGAATAATTACACTTCAAGCTGGAATCGTCTTCTTTCCTTAATGCCACTGAAATCTACATTTCAATGCCAATGCCCTTGTAGAGGCAGGTTCAGAGGTGATTTCTCAGGTAGAAACATGGGGCACCAAGACTCCTCCTTAAGTCCCTAGAAATTCAGTTACCCATGCCTCAAGTATGCTCAAATGAGTACAGATATTTTGTTTCTCAAAGTTATTTGAAGACAATCTGGAGAGTTCAGGGATGGGGTGGGTCGCTTCTTCTTTCCTTTTCTGTAGATAGATTCCTGATACGATGACTTCTGGAATAAATTCATTTCTGACAACTAACCCATTTTGTACATAAAGTGGGGGACGGAGGACAAAAGCCTTGGATCTGGGGAGACCTTTGAACCTCACTCCATGAGAATGTCAGCCACTAGCAGTTGAAGTTACTTCTGTTCTCTGCTTTTAGCGGCTTGAAGAACTAGGCAATTATGTAAAAAAAAAAAAAAACTCACAGTTGTGTAAAACTTCTAAACCTGAAAGCAACTCTTTAGGAAAGTTTTTGAGCAAGCTTGGAATACAAAAATGCTCTCGCAATTAAGCAGTCTAAATGAAGCTACTGAGTTAATTAAGCGTGTTTCAGACACAAATTGCTCAAAATGCAGAATAATGCTTACACTAAGCTCCAGGTCCCAGCTCTTCCCCTACTTGGCCACCATTTAATTGTTTCTTTGCGAATCTAAATGCTCTTTTAAATACTATTATAACATTTTAAAATTTCTGACATTATCCTAATGATTATATATCTGATATGCATTCCAAATTGAAATTTGTTGCTAGAAAAAAAAAACATCATCTTGAATTTTAAGTTGATAGAAAATACTGGATAGAGAAGAGAAATAAAAATAACATCTTTCCGGACAAACGACTTCTTAGGTTCTGATCCAGTCGATAATGAATTCCAGGATTTCACATTAAAGAAACGCAATGATGTGCCATTGAATAACGGATGTTTATGCTCTTGTTGGTATGCCTGCACACTCGGTGATAATCAATTACCTTGACTAGGAAGTTTCATTAGTCAGCTACCGCCTGGGCATTCTAATGCATTTACTTTTCCCTCTTTCTCTGGGAAAGAACACTTTGAAAACACGGATTAGTACTTACCTCTCCTTTCTGTTTTATTCTGAATTTCAGATCTGCTGATAGCCAGAGCATGTATTTAATTTCCTCTCCTGTAAAGTCTTTGAGAGTGAGGAGGTCACGCCCCTTCAGCTGTACTTTATTCTGTACTGGTTTGCCACACCTAAAAAAAAAATAAAAAAGGAAAAAATAATACAGATTTAAGGGGGAAAAAACACTACCAACCTACTACGGTGATGTATTGCTTTGTTCTTGAAACAAATCACAGTGACTCAAATGTAGTCTCACGTGTTTCTGCAACATGTCCATGCATCGAAGCTGCTATAGCTGTTGTTTACATTTTAGGTATTTCAATATTTAAATACTTAAGTATTCTGGATAGTTGAGACAAAAGAAGAATTTGGGGGAAAAGACTGAATTTTTCTTTGTCCCAAGTAGTTACATGAGTAGTTGTGCCACTTACTGGCTGTGCAACCTAGACAAGTTGTATTAGGCACTTTCTCTGTGCCTAAGTTTCTTACCTGGAAAATGAGTGTAATAACCTTATAGGTTGTTGTAAGGATGAAATTACCTAATTTACGTAGACAGTACCTGGTGAATGATAAATGCTTGATATATTTCAGCTATTATTATTGAAATTATGAGGCCACAGGAACAGAATGTGTAATGCACATTAGAAAATAATTTCATTTTCTTTCATCATGCCTTTCAGATCTGCTCTTGGAGACTTGTTCTTTTCATCATTGAACAAAAATTGCAATGGGCCCTGTAGCTTTTCTAGTCACTTGCAGGAAAAATTTTGAAAAGTCCTGTGTTTATTTTTGTGACCTCAAAGCATTCCAGTAAAATCATGTGTAATAATAATATTGTTATAATAAGTTATTCTTATAAAAGTGAAGAAATCGAACGGAAGCTGGTGCCTTTTTCCTTCCAGTTCCTGCTTTACACAAGCTGGTTTCTTTTCCACAGGAAGAAAGGCTGTAAGCTGTTTTCTCTGTCTCTTAGCCTTCACTTCCTATAAGCGAAGCCAAGGGAAGGTGAGTGATTAAGAGAAATCTGAATCAGAGTAAGGCTGACCCTGTCCCAGCACTCTAGCTCTGGCAGGTGATGGAGGCTAACTCATTATAATGCACAGTGCTTTCAGGGATTCTCTGAAGAAGTCTCCAGTCACTGGGACTCCCTCATAGTAGCCCCTGATGGCAACAATTACTTTTCCTCTGGTATCCAAGTGAACACACATTGCTGAGATCACCTCACTCCAAGAAGTCTCTGGGTCTCCTTCCCACTTCAGGTGGTCTCACGGGAAGTCCTCCATGACCACTGCCCTAACAGTATAGACTCTTCCAGGTATCTCCCCAGAACAGCTGGCAAGCCAAGCCTTCTTCCTTTAGACTTCTCAGAAAGAGGCCTGACAGAAGTTTGCAGCATTCCCAAACTTTTTAATTTAAGAGAGTAGTCTCACAGAGGCCACTTTCTTTGGGCTTGAAGCTTCAACAGAGTACCCCTTCTATGGATGGGTCTGCAAACAGTAACAATCCCTGCAAGTTCTCTCTCTCTCTCTTTTTGGTTGTAGCATTTTAAAATGAGAAATAACAATTGCATACATTAAGCTGTACATATTGACACATGTAAATATGGAAAGATAAAATCAAGCAAAGTAACATATCAATCTCTTCTAATATTGATCATTTCTCTAAGGTGAAGCATTTAAAATCCACTTTTTAAGGTATTTTGAAATAGGCAACATTTTATCATTCACTATAGCCACCATGCTGCTATAGAACTTATTCTTCCAAACTGTAATTTTGTAAAAATTGACCAATTTCTCCTCCTCACCTGTACAGTTCATCCTTCAGCCTCTGAGAACCACCATTCTACTCTCTGCTTCTGAGTTTGCCTTGCTAGATTTCACACACAGGTGACAGCGTGCAGTATTTTTCATTTCTGTATATGGCTATTGTTATTTAATGTTGTGTCTTCCAGATCCCTCCACATGTCCTTTCATGTTGTTATAAATGACAGTGTGCTTTTTTTTAGTGGAAGAGTATTCTTTCATGTATATACACTACATTTTTATTCATTTGTCCACTGATGAACCCTAGTTGATTCCATATCCTGGCTTTATGAGTAGTATATGCCGAAGACATATTTGCACTCCCACATTAAAACATCCTCTCCCAATTTTTAAGTGTGTTTTTTGTGCTAACTAGTGGGTTGAGAAGTGAATTTTTGTCTATCTCCTTTGCAAGTATGTATTTAGCATCTAGCATCTCATTTTAGAATGAGGGAACAATCTGCACCTATTGGGCCTGGCCAGAATCTAGGACAGAAAGTGACCTGTCTTAGCGTATTTTTATATTGTGATGAAAGTGATTATTCTTTGGTAAAATTATTCTACAAAATGGATAGCACTTATTATTCCAAATATTACCTGTATTGAAAAATAATCAGCTTTATCTGACATTAGAAATTATGAATCACTGAGGGCTAACTGTGATACATCACATTAATTTCGACTAGAAGTAAAGTAACTCACAAAATGACGATTGAATTCTAAGTAAGAGTTTATGTTATTCAGGATGAAGGGCAAACCCTCTGTTGGGACTCAAATATGACTTTTTTTTGCAATGATAACAAGATCAGAGTTATGAAAATCTCAAATCCAATTTATTATTTCTACTAAATGATGTCAAATAATAGAAAAAAAATGAACAACTCTTTTAAAAACCTAACTTTCATCACTTCATTTAATGTTCAGCAGGTGACTTTTTTTCTGAGTGAACATTTTATGAAAGTAAGTCTGTTAGAGACTGTGGCTTGCACAGAAGAGAATTTTCACAGGGATTCAGAGTTTGTGGGTTGGTTGGTTAATTGACGGATATCATCATTTAATAATATACCATTTAATACTAATGATGTATTCAATGACAACTAGAAATTAGGATTTACAGTTTATGCTCATGTGAGTGTGCATTGATTTAAATTTTTTGCACTACAATAAACTTGTCTCTTAATCCCATTTTGCAATAAAACCTTAAAATGTCTTCATCTACAACAAACTGTTAAGAGTCCTCTTTCAAAGGTGTGCATTTATCTTCTACTCTTGAAAATGTGTGAATTCTGTGTTCTTCAATTGGCAATTTCTTTAAAGTGGTGGTACTCATAATATTTTCTTGATTAACATGTAATAATAATACATATTTATGAGCTACAGTATGATATTTTTATACATGTATATAGTGCATTCTGATTAAAGCAGGGTGATCAGCATTTTTATTTCATAATTACATACACATAACAGTAAAGAAAATTTGGACATGGCCCACATATATGTTTACTTACTATATTAACAGTGTGTCTAAAACAAAATACAAATAAAAAACTCTGGACTCAGAAGAGCAAAATATTACAAAAATCAATTTACACATATGCAGAAATATTTTGCTGGCTAAAGAACTTTCTAGAAGAGCCCTTCCCTTTGTTCCTTCTGCTGGAGTCATGACAAAATATTATAAAATTATTTCCATGATTTCTTAGTGTTCAGGCATGACATAACTTTAACTGTCTACATTTAGGTAGAAAATTTGTATTTACATGAGTTTCAGTTACGCATTTGTTATGGTCATTTTGATTAGTGATAATATTAAGCAACACTGGGCATGTATAAGTACTGATACTATAAAGTAAAGGTCTTGATTGATAGCCATGCACATTTCAAGGTCAGCTGGAATCTTCTGGGAATCTGTAGGTCAGGTTTTATATATCTGACCTGTAGGAGCCATGGCAACTTCATCCTTGGTGATTTACATTCAGGGAAAATTTAAATATATTTTCTTCTGAAATAAGAGCCAATTAAGATAAAATTATGGAATATTCTGTACCGTATGATAATGCATTAGCATTCGCTCAAGACCTCTACCTTCAGCATTTTGCTATTGTTATTTGTTTTAAGTTTTATTCATTTTTATTGAAAAGTCAGATTTACAGAGAAAAGGAGAGAAGGAGAGACAGAAAGATCCTTCATCTGCTGATTCACTCCCCAAGTGGCCACAATGGCCAGAGCTGAGCCAATTCAAAACCAGGAGCCAGGAGGTTCTTCCAGGTCTCCCACATGGCTGCAGGGTCCCAAGGTTTTGGGCCATCCTCCACTGATTTCCTAAGCCACAAGCAGGGAGCTGGAAGGGAAGTGGAACTGCCAGGGTATGAACCTGTGGCCATATGGGATCCCTGGAACATGCAACATGAGGACTTTAGCCACTAGGCTCCTGTGCTCCACTATTATTATTTTTAGAAAGGTTTATCTATTTGAAAGTGAGAGCTACAGAAAGAGAGGGAGAGACACACAGAAAAAAAGGTCTTCCACCCATTGCTTCACTCTCCCCCGATGATTACAGTGGCCATGGTTGGGCCAGGCTGAATGAAGAGTCTGTAGTTTCCCATTTAACTTTCAGTAACCCAAACACCCCAGCCATACTCTTCTGCTTTTCAAAGGTTATCTGCAAGGAGCTAGGTCAGAAGTGGAGCAGCCACGACATGAATTGGAGCCCATATGGGTGAATAACTTTGTGGGTGGAAGCTTAGTATGCGGCGCCACAACAATGGCCTCCATGACTAAAGTGTTTTAGAAGGAGAAAGAAAGCTTACTGCAAACGCCACTTCCTGTTTCAAAGAATTTGGGGAACATCCACAGCTGTTGACTCCTAGCTGTCAACACAGGGAAAACAACTGAGGAACTAACCGTGAGGCTCGAGTTTAAATCCACACAAAACTGGGTCCTTGAACTTGCTCTAGAATATGATAGTCTTCCTTTCCCAGCCCTGAGGACTCGCGCGCCTCCTCTCCCTTCTGAACACGCACAGGCCGAGAGATGTCATTTAAGACTGTCAAAGGCAATCAAATTGTGGTCTTCTTGTTGAATCTCAGAGAAGCAGACGCAAACATAAAAAGGAAATACAGATCATACGAAGAATTAAGTGTTTCTCCCTGATCTCTGTGAAAGGGTACGGGAAAGAGGAACTACAACATGAGTGGCCGTTTCAGAAGTGTGGCCTTGCAGCTCTTGCTACCCCCGAAGAAGACAGATGGGGGGAGGGAAAAGGTCTTTCCTCAAATTTGTCTGTCCACATGCAAGAAGTTTCTAAGCGGGAGGTGGGGTTAAGCTTG